AGGACACTCCTCCAGTACTTCATCCGTGATTTCACCATTAATCATGTCGTTTGTAATCTGCATTAGTCGAGATATTTCAGCGGCCTTGAAACAGAATTTTCAAGGTCAATGTGAAAAAACGCGTAATAAGAAAGTAAATCTCTCACCTTTTTGCTGCAGAATTCAAAATGGGACTGAAGTTCCTTTTCCGCAAGGATTCCCACTTTTTCAGTAGACATCCTCCTACAGAACAAAGTTTAAGAGAAGCTGGAGAAACATAATTCACCCCTTTGATCAACTTCAGAAAAATTCTCTGCTATGCACTGTATGAATTTAACCCTTTGGGACCATATGTTGAGTTTCGTAGGAATCCGCGCGATGTTCCATCTCACGCAGCTGCTGTAATGGCGACGCCGTTCTCCGCCGCTTGTATATCGCCGATTGCCGCGCGAACGACGGCGCCATAACACCTGCCTACTAACATGGTCGTCAAAGGGCAAATCCCCTTTGAAAGTAGATGCGGATTTGACCACATGGGTAATCACTGGATTGCTCATTGAGAATGGAACGATTTATCCGAATGCAGATACAATAATATCAAATTGACCAAGGAAACTTACTCAGATTCTTGAACTAACAAATGGAAGAGAATACTGCCTAAAGATAATCTATGTCAAAACCAGAATCATAGTTACAAGCTGCTCACAAGCAGTCCTTGGGTGAACAGCTCTTGGCGTAGCTGGCTTAGCAAAAACAACAGAAAAGGGAAAAAATTGAGTAGATCAACATGCTTATTCCAATGTTTACTGTGTACAGCGACAGCAAACGGTCTACACCCTTTTTATCTCAAGAATGTTAACTTAAATGATGATAACTACAGCAGAATTCTTAAGAGACAAACAACTGCAACGAAATCTATGACTTCGATGACTTAACAACAACTCCAATATAAGGTAATAACAACAATAGGAAAACAGAATAAATCCTGAAATTCAAATGGAATACAATGTCAAACCAATATACAATATTTATAACGAGAATACCTCACGGTCACCGAAAACGAGACGTGAAAAGAATAAAACAAATATGAAACCCACATCATTTGGGATTCAAAGCTAGACTTTTTTCATCAGCAAGTAGATGTTCGAGTCCAATTCGAAATTTTGAAGGTTGAACGCCTTGAAATCAATATAAAAATTTGGATTTTAAAACACTAGTACCGTTTTTACCTTGATTAAAGCACTAAATTCATTACTATTATATCAATCAAGGCCTTGAGCCGAGGTAGATCTCAATAGATGTATATCGACCACAACAAGTGCTTTGTTTGATGTTTCGACACAAAAAATAGACTGTAACAAATCTAGTTCGAGACCCGATACATCTCCAGAGTTGGGTTTAAGCGACGAAACTAGCCTGGCTAATACAAGATTCTCCCTACATCTATCACATTCGCGACATGTTACGTTCATAAGGATCCTCTAAACATTCAAAACTATGCATAAAGCCATATATTTCTTTTGTTGAATAATAACAGCTAATTGTCGATAGAACTCGGGTTCAACTCCGGCCTGTAGCCGAATATTTTACGCACTACTTGATACTATTAGATGTATATTTGTAACGTCACAACACCGCTAAAGAGCGATTCAATGAAATGTTTATCTAGACTAATCGTCAAGTGTTCAAAGTTCAAAGACAACACAAATTTTCTGAAATACGTATACAAACTGTACCTCTCCTTTGAGTTTCATTAACAGGCCTCCAAAGGACGCGTAGACAGAAATACGGCTACCGTCAGCTCCTGCTTCGTCACCCTCTATCCGATAGATCCTTCCGAACATCACATATTCGAATTGTTCCACTCGAGAATATGATGCCTCAAACGAACGAACATTTTTATCCACGGGAATATCTCATAGTGCCTCAGATTTTGGGTGAAAATCCGATAAAAGATTAGCAGAAAACTCCTAGGTTTATAAGCTGTCAGGCTTAGCAAGCAAAATCCAACATTACTTGATTGGATAAAAGACATTTTAACTTTCAGGAGCTTCCTTCTTTGCGATCTAAGGTTCCTACTCATGTTTTCACCAGATGCCAGATGGTCAATACGTTACAGCTTTCGTTTCGAGTGTTTCTTCAAACAGCGGTCGAATTTCAATTGCCTGAGAGTTATTTCTGAGCCATGCATGTGGTCTGTTATAGGCACTTATACAGTGCTATACATGTGTTTCGACCCTGCACGGCCTCGTCAGTAGCACAGTGCCTTTCGTCTTCGTCCATACTCTCGCGAGGAACCCAACCCCCTTACATAGAAAGGCACAGACGTACTATTCACACGCGCCATGCAGTGAAAATATCACTGAATGGGCAGTGTTGTACACTCACTTTCTCTTGGCTGAAATCGTCATACCCTTCGTTTCGAGTGTTTCTTTATGCATGGCTCAAAAATAACTACTAGGCATACTGAAATTTGAGTGTGGTCTTAAGAAAACACTCGAAGCGGAAGGTATGATATTTTTGACGATACTAGCCAAGCGCAATCGAGTGTACAACACTGCCCCCTTAGTGATATCTTAACTTGATGGCGGCATGTAATTAGTACGTCTGCGTCTTCTCTGTTAAGGGGATTAGGTTCCTCCGAGATAATTGGTTAAGACGAAAGGCACTGTGCTAGTGACGAGACCGTGCAAGGCCAAAGCATGTGTCCAGCACTCTATAAATGCTCATAACAGACCACATGCATGGCTCAAAATAAATATCAGGTTAATATGTTGTCGTTAAGTTAACAGCTATGATGTGCTGCTGGCAAATCTATGACGAAAATCAGATTCAAAGTGTCACTTTGCAGTTCTCCGTTCAATAATTTGATAAAAGGGTGACGACAGCTCAAATGTTTACGCTATTTTCTGTGATAAGTCCACATCTCTACCATGGGCAGCCAAAGAATTTCAAAATACTTTCTAGGAACGCGTTGTTTCACATCAGTATAAATTACTACTTTAGTGCTCAAAGTACTGGTTGAGTGTTCGACGTTAAGGACCACTTCTACCGAAAATTGCTTACAATGGGGACCTTCAATTCCGACCGTCATAAGACGTCGGTGAATGAATGAACATTAACTTGTTCGCTTGATGAGCTGACACAGATTTTTACGCATCTTCTGATACAAACAAGCTTTGAGCCACGATGAGGATTTACGAAAACCTCGTGCCAACTCTTCAATGGAAACAGAACGCTTGCAGAAGTTTTCTCTACGAAGTCGGACTAACGTAGTAGCAGTCATTGTAGATAAAAGCAATAAACTAAGTAAAGAGTTGATGTAAGGAAGAACCTTATCCAGTACCTTGGGGTCATATTCTCCTTCATCAGGCATCCTATCGTCACGAACCGACTTGGTTATCATCAGTCGGAACTTATCATTGAGGTTTACCGGGTAGATTTGAGTGTTCACGTCCAGAATCAATTCCATGCTGAAAAACTGGATTCACACTTCATCAATGTCATATATAAGCATTTTATTATCTCGAGAATAAAGCAGAGCTAGACAAATATATAAAGCATATAGCCCAAATAGTGGAAGACTGAGAATGTATGATTATCGGGAATGCGGGCTGTGGCCAGGCGGCTATGACGCTTGGCGCCGCTTGACGAGGTGATGATTGACCCTCGCGTCCTGACCGCCAACATTCCTCGACAACCAGTTAACAAACTCCTCACGGAACGCTCCAGCTTATTTAACTTCGAGAACACAGGAGATATGACCAACCGCTATCCTACGACGTTTATGAAAAAGACGAAATGTTCAAGCAAGGAGTGCATGCGAGGAGACAAAGCGAATGCTAGAAGTACCCAGATTCGCACAATAAAAATGTGAAACCGGGTAAATAATGAAAAATCATGTGCTTTTTCTTTCTAAAAGGTTTTCAAAGGAGAAATAAACAACTGAAGAACACTTTTTTCAATGAAAAACAGAGACTCGTACGGGAATTCGTAAGGTAGTATATAGTCCAGCTTGAAGAAAACTAGTAACTATAATATTAAAAATATCAAACGCTTGGAAAGGGGAAAAGGGAAGGCTTTCTAATGGTTATTGATGCTCGGTGCAGGATTGATCCCCCCCTCTCAGGTCATCAATCAATCCAACAAACGCCTCAGCCTGGTTATCCTCAACTTTGCGAAGAGCGTACTCTACGACGACGATCACGAAATATCCAGCACGGCGATGAATGTGAGGTGTCAAATCGAATGCTGAGAGTGCTGGGATCCGCATGATCAAATTGTGAAGATCGTTTTTATCAAATTAAAAATAATAAAAGGCCAATGCTTTCGGGGTTGATCAATCCTTAGGATTGAGGGCACCATGCATTCGTTTTCAATTTTTATCTTCGTTTGAAGTGATTGAATGCATTTCTGGCCTTCACCCGATCCCAGAGGGATGGATGGCCTGGTGAGCCATAGGCACGAAATCGAACCATCGACCATGTGTGCGACTTAGAGCACCTCTAACCCCTGCGCCACTCGCGCTCTTTTTATTTTTTTAATTTTGTCAATTAATGGATAAAGAGTAAAAAGTCAAAAAAACTCTGCTTTCAAATGTTTTTAGAAGGACCCTGTATAGCTTTTTTTAGAATGAGACAGAGAGACTCGCAAGGGAATTCGTGGGAGACGAACCTGAACGACTCCGAGTCGCAGAACAATCGCGAGCATCGCTCGAACTTCTTGCCGTCGGGGTCGATGTTCTTCACCATGAACATATCGTCAAACACCACCTCATTCATGACGATGGAAATCTCCTTTGAAAATGAGCGTAGCCTAAATAAGACTAAGAAGTCGTGTATTAATGCGTGAACGATGAACCACACCAACTACACACTATTTGACGGCGAAATTCCTACTAGTCACAAGCCATACGCTGATCGGGTCACGGGGGCATAGGTCACGTCATTCAGGCTTTCTGGCCCATTCCGTATCATGGGCCCTTTAGAGTCCACTAATGTTGAGTTGTATGCGAAGCGTTGAACCTCTGGTGGGAGTTGAACCCGCGTTTCACCCTTTCCGGAGCTGGCGTGCTAACCACTGCGCTATTGAGGCCTATGTTCTGCTAAACACTCCTGCAGTATTGTAGGGTCCGCCGCACTCTGGAAGTTCCAGAACGATGCGTACTGATTTCGGTACATAATTGGAGCATGAGGCTCTCGGCGTTAGTCAAATCCTGTGGGATGCGCCGTTCGATTGGCTGCATATTCTGGCCTTTACAAAGGCCACGGTGACCTACCGATGTATCCAGTCACTGCTGCCTATCCACCCACATAACTCTGAGAGCAGTCTGGCTTCAATTCACCGATTCTGGAGGCATGGATGGCTTGGTGAACTTTGAGCACGAGATCGAAGCCAGCGACCTTGTGCGCGACGCAGAGCACCCTCTAACCACTGTGCCATGTGCGCTGCTTATATCATCAATTATCGTACCAAAATATTTCATAGTGTTGGCCCTCGTTGGGTAAAGGCTTTCCACTGCGGTTTCAGTAATCATTCGAAAGCTTCACTTTCTGGCTAGTGCGCTATATGGCCGTTTTTTGTTTAATGTCTTTCTATAACGTTTCAGCAGAAGGAAAACATTTGGTTTTCATACGTGCATTTTTCTCGCAAGACAGAACTCCTTAGTAATGTTGTGAGTAACCATGCGATGGCACAAGTTCCGGCGATTCCGATGTTGTGTTTATCTGCTGGGAAGACCGTTTCACTGCAGTGTAGCAAGGAAAATAAATCGAGTTTCACGTACTCGGCTCGCTTGCTTATCGGCTAATGTGCAGTCTGGGTGTTTGCCGCCCGTCGATTTGATACGGCATTCCGCGATCGATCGGTCAAATGCGTTGGCGCGTCACATGTGAAGAGCTATTCTTGTTATTCCATTAGGAGTGTTCTCCCCGTTTCGGAAGAAACTCTATATAAAACGTGTAGCTCTGTTACTACAAAATTCCCTCCACGCGTTGATATGCTTTCCGAGTTTCAGCGAAGTGATAGTGAAAGCACGCGATTAGTGTAGAAAGCAATTTCATCTTGAGATCTAGGGCGTTATAAATGGGTATTCTCAAAAAAGGAGCACGTAGCGCACTAGCCAGAGATTCAAGCTTTCTAATGATTACTAACAGTCTTATGAAAACTTCTTGTACAGAGAGAGGGGTCGTTTCTTTATCCCGGCCGTCTAACGGAGAACTATCGGTTTCTGTTCCACGCTTAACTTTTTTGGGGAAACCTTCATCATATTGTATTTAAGAGAGTGAGTGACACGGTGACAGTATTCCGTCCAGGCAGCCTAACATGCTCATGCCCGCTCTACCCCGCGCAGAGCCCGCCTAAGTCTTTCTTCCCTCCGGGGCCAAGAAATTGGTACCAGACGTTTCTGAAACAAGCCGCTAACTCTAATTCACATGAAAGCGCTCAAGTGTGGAGAGCCAGCATCCCAGTGGGAACGGACTAACCACCTTCAACATATTCGTGAGTTAGACAAAAAAAATTCTCAAGTATCAGTCATAACCACATGCAAGAATGCCCAAAGACGTTTACGGCTGATGGATGTGAGAAAACGACTTGAGTACAAGAAGTGTTGGGAAAAAAATAATTAAGCACAAATACTATAATAACGTCTACGAAGCCGATGTCAACAGAAGAGCTGATTAGGATGAATCTATCTGATTATCAATGTGTCTATTGCCTATATCGCTCTTTTTCTATGACCACATGCTATTCTGGTACTCATAATGCTTTTGTGCTTAGATCTATGATTGTTTCTCACTCCCACTTCGTGACAGTGAATGGTAAAGACGGAATATCCTGAAATGAACGTTCCACTAATGACCATTAGTGGCTATTAACTGACCCAATCGGTCGTCATTATCATTAGGGTCCTTTCTTCTCAGATATTTTGAAACCGGCTTCACCATATTGTATTTAGTGTACATTTTCAGGAATGATGTAGTTATCAATGCTTGTTGTCTAGTGTCCTATGCAGTTTCGATTTCGTGGTTGTAAACTGAAATTTTCCAGAATTGCTATCAAGTTCTGAGTCCAGATTCATGGGTGGAGCAGAAGCCAAAACCTATTGAATGTAAAAATTTTTATAAAGTATTAGATCGGATTTTCTACAGTCTTTACAAAATGGCAATTTGTGAAAAGAGATATATACGAAGTCAAGAACGCTGAAAACATAAAAATTCTCCACTCTGGGAACGCTGGAAGTAGAAAAGGTAATAATTTGACTTTAAGTCTGATCTCAGACTTCAGTTATTTGAAGGTTTGCAACATAGGTGAACGCTATTCCGAAATCTTTTCAATCTACATAAGTGTAGTCCCTGATTTTCTGAATTTAGATATGCTGTGTGTTAAAAACTCAATAATGATTAATAATTTTACGGAATGTCGATTCAGTTCGCTCCGACTACGAATAAGCATCATTTGCATAAATTTACGTGCTTTTGCCATAACACGACACCGGAAACAGTGACCACCACGGAACTATAGGCAATTGGAACCTTAGGGTCTTTCTTCTTCTATAAGGATTATTTCTCCTATAGCAGAGCGGTGACGGTCCGATTGGATCTCGCAATATCCTGCTTGCGTCAGTGATGTTTGCGGCCGATACTCCTCCATTGTTCTATGTTCATCGTTATTCGTCGTTATTCGTAAATGTCACACTTATCTATTGTTCCGGCCACCAATCGGTGATATTTGTTTCCATTGAACTGTTCAGTCACTTTTATACACCCTTAGAGCGATTTATCAAACAATCTCTACTGAAGAGAAATGGAAACTGTGAAGAGCACGATGGACTGTAACACGTCACCTGCTAGTTGACTACTGAGATCTTCACACAAAGTTGGGTAATTCAACCTCTATCCGTATTTACAGCATTGGCATAACGATAATAACAAAGTGATGATGAGCGATGATAATCCAGTTGATAGAAGCGGCTGTGAGCAATGAATACAATAACAGGAACGAACGATTTTTGCGAATCATGAACTACAATGACAATGATGTAGTGTGGCTATAACCTACAAAGTACCTGTAGGATAGAGAGGCTATGACTATGAAATATAACGATATAATAAACGGAAAGAAGAAGAACCATTAGTACAAGCAATGGTTTACATATATGCATATATTTGAACTGTATATGTATACGTATATATGTACTTATACATAGCGCATGTATACTCTGTAAATATACACATACGTGTGTGTATATGTATATATACATACGTATATATATGATATACACATGTATATTTACATATATATAAATATATATATAAATATACATATATATACGTCACTTGAGCTACATATATTGATACTTATATGTATATATACATATATTTATATATATATCACTCGAGCTTGACTTCATGCTATATCACCACTACTACACACCTAACTCGAGTGATAATAAACTCTAACTGCAAAAGAGCTCTGCAGGAGGATCTTCTCCGGTAGAGGCAGGAGAAACTGTTGGAAGCAGCACAAAAAAGATTTAGTCTAAAAAAATGCCATCGGAGCTTGTGCTAATAGAGTGTTTCGCTCGCAGCCCTGATGAACGACGATGGGAATGCTACAACACCCCGCCATGACATGGAATTGATAACGGCGAAATTTCACACCAACCTTTTCCGTTCCACAGTCCCCGTCCCAGACCCCGAAAATCCCCACTGGAGAAAAACCACTCTGGATTTCACCCTATGAAGTACGTGTTGCGATAGAAGGCATGAAGAATGGCACAGCTCCAGGACTTGATAACATCACCACCGACTTCTTAAGAGTTGAAGGACATAATCTAGATGTATTACTCGCTACACAAATGAGATCCTACCTCCAGAAGAAAAAAAATTCATACCAGTGGAGGACGTCGTGCACAATCATCCTCCATAGAGAGGGTGATTAAAAAGATCTTCGTAATTATCATCCAATTTGCTTGTTGAGTGTGCTCTACAAGCTCTTTTTGAAAACTTAATACTTTGCTCATATCAAAACTTTGGATGAAGCTCTACCAATTGAGCAAGCAGGATTCCGCAAAGGATTCTCCTGCATGGACTACATCCAATTCGTATCACGGGTCATTGAAGTCTGTCGGGAATATCACATGCCCTTAATCCTAATATTTGTCGACTATGAAAAAGTGTTTGATAGCGTTGAAACGAATGCAGTCCTGTCAGCACTCGTCGATCAAGGAGTGAATCCGTCCTTTATAAAAAGTTCTCAGACTGCACCAAACTGCTCGAAACTGCTCGAACTGCACCAACTCAAAACTGCACCACAAAAACAGCTTTTTCATCGATCTCTGACCATACCCAATGGTAAAGGGGTGCGGTGATGAAATATAGCCAAAGTTGTTCACCGCCGCGCTGCAGTGGGTAATGAAGTCACTCGATTGGGAACAGAAGGGCATTCCTGTTGATGAAAAATTCCTGTCACATTTTCTTCTTGCAGACGGAATCGTCAACTTTTCGAAAAGTGCCAATGAAGCAGATGCGATGCTAAAGAAATTAAACGAAGCGAGAAAGAATAACGGATTGTGTATTGAAAGGACGAAGACCCAGTTCACGAAGAACTCATGGTGCAATTGTGATCAAGTCGAAATGGATGGTCTTCTGATTGCAGAAACCACCTCGTATGTGTACCTTGGGCATTCACTGAACATGGAAAACAATATGAAGAAGGAACTAGATAGAAGGAGGAGAGCAGCATGGGCCGCATTCGGGCCTCTCAAAAAAGCAACCGACCAGCTGACGGATCCAAAACTCCGTGCTCATCTTTTCGACTCAACGCTCCTCCCGGCGCTCTGCTATGCAGTTGAGACGTGTGCTGATACTTCGACCACGTCAAGAATTCTACAAACAACTCACAGAGCGCTTGAACGATGTCTTCTCAGATTAAATCAGCGCACACAACATCTGGACGGCTTGCGTAGCTCAGATCTTCGGAGTCTATTTCATCTTCGTGACTCAGAGTCTATACATCCTTAATTCATTTAACGAGCACGTCCGCTCAACGTGTAAGTGGTCGTCCTCGAGGATGCGTACATTGTCGTGGAC